GAAAACTATGGCCTTCACAATTGTCAGTGTGTTGTCTGTACTTTCATATTTTTAGATTTATCATAGTCTTTCTCCCAATTCACCATCCCTATGAATTTTTGAGCCAGAGATAAAAGTCTGTAACTACTTCAACTTCTTCTACACCTATCTGCATTAAATTGCTTGTTTATTTTTTAATAATGAGCAGTTGACCAGCTTTTGCATTGTTCAACTTCAACAAGAGATTCTTTATGTCTTCCTGGCTTCCATCAGCATATCTAGGGGCAGTGGTATTTCTCCCTGAAATTTTAATTCCAATTTCTATTTCTTCTAATCCAGCATTTCTTCTCTTGATATAGTCTATACATAAATTAAATAAATTAAGGTGAAAGTATATCATCTTGGCACATTCTATTCCCAATTTTGAACTGCTTAGTTCATCTTCTAGTCTAACTGTTGCTTTTGGTCATCATACAAATAGCCAGATGAGGTAGCTTAGTATACCCATATTTTTGAAAGCCACCCACAATTTCTTCTAATCTGTACATTCAAAAGCCTTTATATAATAAATAAAGCAAAAATAGACATCTTTTTGAACTCCCTTGCCTTTTTTATTATCTATTGTATGTTAGTAGTCTCAGTTGCCCCTATCTCTTCTGAATTTATTGTGTACCTCAGTTTTTTTTCCATGCACTGTTGAAATCTGCATTGCAAAATCTTCAGCATTATTTTACTAGCCTGTGAGATAAGGATAATTGTTTGATAGTTTGAGCATTCTTCAGCATTACCCATTTTTGGTACTAAAATATGTAATTTGAAATTTGCCAGACCCTTGGCCACTCCTTTGCTTGCTATACAAGCTTACAAACTGTGTTTGCATCATCCCTTTCCATCTCCTTTCTCTTTACTCTTTTTATCTTTTATTGTGCCCATCTTCGCATAAAGTTTCCCTTGATTTTTGCAATTTTCTCAAATGTATCTCTGAACCATTCAGTTTGATTGCATTGGTTATTTAAATGTTTCTCCTTGTTTCTTCTTGCTTTTCTCTGGAATTCAGCAAGTAGTTGGACAATATTTTCTGTTTCTTTTGCCTTTTGTTTTCTGCCTTTTTTCAGCTATTTTGAATGTATCCAAAGACAGCCACTTTGCCTTCATTTTCTCTTTGCATTTTGGAATATTTTTGTTGGCTTCATCTTTGATGATGTCACAAATTTCAATCCAGGGTACTTCAAGCACTCTAACCAAAATTAATCTATTAAGTGTGTTTTTCAATTTCACCGTATAATTATATGGAATACTGCTGAGGTCATTACTTGTTGGTCTGATCATTTTGCTTGCATTAGTTTAAGCTGTAATTTTGCAAGAAAGTTTCAAGATCTGAGCCACAGTCAGCCCCAGGTTTTGCTTTGCTGAATGAACAGAGCTTCTTCATTTTTCCTTGCAGAGTATGTGTATTGTGTATTTAATTTTGATGTTATCCATGCAGTGATGTCCTTTTGTAGAGTTTTCTTTTAGATTGCAGAGAGCAAGAGAGCTATTCAGGACACATTCTATGCAATTAATAGTGTTTACCCATTAAGTGCTATACTGTTTAGAGGGTTTCCTTTCCTTGGTGTAATAGAGTCTATGTCCTGGTTCATTTTATATGCTGAAGCAGGTGGGCTACCAAGTCTGAGCTGCAAGATGCTGGACAATCACAAGATATTAGCAAAGAATTTCAGTTTTCTGTATCTCTTTGCTGTCATCTAGTGCTCATCTGGATTTTTACAGCCCAAAGACAGCTCTAGTTTGGAGTTCTCCAATTCTGAGTTACAATATAACATGATTTCTTATTCATCTTCTATTTTCTGTCTATAGTAGAAAATAACAGGTTCTAAATTGGCTTCTACTGATAGAATACCAATACAGGTCTAGACTTCCAATTTTTATATGACACACATGGAGGTCTACAAGTAAACCAGAAATATTTGTTCATTAAATCTAACCAGAGTCAGTAAAACCTGTTTTTGTTGTTTTTAAAGCTGTCAGTTCATCTATTAGACTTTTTCAAACAACAGAACCCTGCTATATTATATTGCTGGTGAATATTTATAAAATTGAACCATGGGAAACGTTTAATAAGCTTCAGTTTGGTTTGCATGTTTATCAGCAGCACAATAACCCCACTGCAATATTAAAACATGATTAGGAATAATGTTATAGATAAGTATCTACATTTCAAGTATGGACATAAGACTAATACTTGCATCTGCTTTCAAAGGATGGACAACAATTAAAAGTATCATATAATGTGATCTCTCTACTGAAGATTGAAGTATTAGAAAAAAAATGGCTTTTCAAGAATGGATATTTGTACTAAGCATACTAGGAAAATAGCTGAAGTATTTTTTCCAGTTTTGATTCTTCTGAATAATACTAACAAAGGGAATTGCTAGTACTTACTTGAATTCTAACTTTTTAGCAGGTTGTTTGTATCTGTAACAAATAAGGAATACAACAGATAAAACATTTCCATTTGGTCTGACTTTCTCTGGAATAAAGTTGACATTTCAATCCATCACATAGTTATTAAATACACAAGTATCTCAGTTCATACATCTTTTTTCTCACATTCACTTTGTTCAAAATGCACATCATTATAGGCATGGTTTATAGTGACAAGTTTGTATTTCATGCAGCATCTTGAAAGCATCTCATGGAAGGTAGGGCTGTTCTACAACAACAATGCAAGTGAACCACACTAATTCCCTTCAACAAAGCAGGATGTTAACCCTTTCATCTTATTAACCAGATTGATGTACTACTAGAAGAAAAAATATGGAACAAAGTGTAGTAGACTGCAGCTGCAATGACCTTTTTCTCTCAGAAGCATTTAGCCAGTGTAACCTGGACAAAGTCTTTCCCAACTTCAGATATGGCAAATAGATCCCCTGCATAAAAGCAAAACGTATCTACCAAAATATCTCAACAGTACTCGCTTTAGAATGCCATTTCACCATTTAGAATCTTGGAGATTTTTTTTTTTAATTGTTGAGTCTAATATAGGTTATCAACCTAATGCACATTAGCAAGTACATGAAGTAACTTCATAATCTTGACCATATTTTCTGGGTGTATTTTTGAAGCCAAATGTTTATTTCCAGATAGGAATATGCTATTATCTTTTCTTTCCCTCTCTTAAACTTCAGCTTGCTTTTGGTTTTTGGTTTTTGTCACGTGCATCAGGAACTTAGTTTTTGCTAAGAGCCACTGTTATCCAGTGGGATTTCATCTCAAATTAACAAGATTGAGATTCCAACCATACGGATTACTCTCCGGAAATACAGTAAAAGCATGATGATAAGAATCTATTTTTCCCACCATCTTACTGAATGTCCAGTACAGTTTTGATCATAGGAATGAGATGTGGAAAGGACATTAATGGGAATTAATCCAATGCAACAATAAGAAACATTATTGCAACTGTATAATATTACAGTGCAGTCACAAAGAGAACTTAAGGAACATATAATGTGTACATTCTAATTCATGCGTGACTGAATTAGAGAGGGCATCTCTCTCTGACAGAGTGTATGTTAGATTAGTAAAAAATCCAAAAGTCCTCAATCTGGCATCTCAATGTAAGGCTGGCGAAACTGTCTGAACCTTACTGCTTGTCAGTGCAAACTGTAAAATATGATTGGTCTAGCCAATAATAAGATTGCTGCCTACATACTATTCATATACATTACTTGATATTTATACACACTCTGGTTTGTAATAGTCTCTTGAATGTGTGAATTAAACCTACTGAAAAATATATTTAAACTTACTTTGGAAATGGGAAACACTGATCTATAATGGGCAGTCTGCATTTCCCATACAAGGCATATATTTCAAGGAAACGGCAATAGAGACTTAGCTTCAACACGAAATAAAAATCCCAGGAAACAGAGGGCCAATAGAGCCAATCACCAGACTTACTGTCCCTGGCAATAAGCTTGTTTGCAAATACAAATGACAGTTGTGTGCATGCTCACGTTTACCATGCTGATTAAAGTTTGTTTTGAACTGATCTGATGACTTCAGGATATGCTTATGTAGTTTTCCTGACAACAATAAAGAGCTGCTTCTTTCTTATTATTAATTTGCCAGTGTAGCCTACAGATCCTAGGAATATCCTTTCTAAACACTAACCCGGTCTGATCTTCCTTAGTTTTTAGAGGTCAGCCAAGGTTGGCTTGGTGCTGCCACCTACCTGGGCTACACGGTGCATGCAGGGAGAGAGGGAAGAGAACCGAAGTGAGTGGAACAAGAACGCAAAAATGTTTAAGTCCAAATGTATCTATTCACGATCCACCAGCGAGGGCGTTATACAGTAGAATTCTTTGCAATGAACATAGCTGCCTTAAAAAAAAAAAAGGATAAAATGGCATGGACGCTCTTTCAATATCACAAGCAATTAGAAAAGCAAAGAGATAGCACGAAATGAGGTGTCGGGCATAACCCCCACCCACACTTAAAGCTCCACTAAACAAAATGGGACTTATTTCGGCACGGCAAGGATTTACAGTAAACGACAATGTTTTGCGTCTCCGTTTAAGAGTAAATCTTACTGAACCCGAGTGGGAGGATTACTTTTGTTTAAACGTACCCTGGGCTCAGAAAAAAAAAAAAAATCAGCCGGCTAATAAGTAAATCACCGCTTCCACAGCGCGAGAGATACAAAAGCGCGCCCCTGCGAGATCTCCCACGCCACAATAACGCCTCCTTTCCCACATGCTCTCTGCGGCGCCTCTCCACGTCTTTCCTGCGATTGGCCAGCCTCCTTCCCCTCTTCCGCAACCCGGGCCGTTGTCATTGGAAGGCTGTCAGAACCTTTGAGCCGTCACCGCTGCGCTCCGGCGGCCGCCCGATCGTAACCAACGAAACGGCGGCGTAAGGTATCAATCTTGGAGCGACGGCCAATGAAGCGGCGACTCTCCTCTGAAGCCGAATGTTGATGTGGCTGACTCAGCCAATGGGAGCGACGATACCCTGCTCGTGCTGCTTTCGCGGCAAAAAGGATTTGGCGCGCAAACGTGTGCGAGGCCGGGACCAGCTGGGAACAATAACAGTGCCTGAGTTGAGAGCGCGCGGATCCGAGGGGGTCGGCTGAACTCGCTGGTGGAAAGACGCGCGGGAAAAAGCTGCAGCCGGATTTGGGGGGGTTGGGAATCTCGGAGAGACCCGAGCGGAGCGAGGCTGGGCAGCTAGGAAGTCGGCACTGGCCCGGAGAGCGTGGGTGGAAGAGTGCCCTGCAATGTGCTGCTGTCTGTAACCCCCACCCTTCCCTTCCCTTCCCTTCCGAGCGGCGCCCAGAGAGGACTCGCCGATGTCCTGCACAGCCGCCCTGCTGCCCTCCCGCCTCGTTCTCGCCTCTCAACTTACGGCCCTGGCTGGCTGCGACTCCGCTGGACACCATTTCCCGGGCCTCTGCTCTTAAAGAGGATGGGGCGTGTTCCATCCTACCAGCCTCTGCCATCCGGTGTCTCCCTCCACCGCAGCGGCCGGGACGATGGCATTAGTCCGCTGATGCGACTTTGATTCCTGGGTGGGGGGCTCAGGACGGGGGACAGAGTTTTGATTTCCTGCGGTGTGTGGAGGGGCAAACCCAGGCTCCCCCCACCCCCACCCTGCTTTCCTCCAAGTTCTCGGGCATGTGAGTCCCAGCGCTTTGTGCCATGTCTCTAGAGGGGCTGGAAGTAACTCAGAATGTGGCAGACCTGGAAGCCTTGCTGAGAGGAGCAGAGGCCATCCATGTGATGGAACAGCAGATCGTGATCATTTCCACTCCAGACCAGCTCCCCGCGCCCGAAGGAGAAAACGACACCGAGCTGCTGCTCTTTGCCACTCCACAGTCCGCCCGATTGGAGACCGTAACGCAGAGGCCTGCTCTAGAACGGCCACCGGTAATGCCGCCGCTTTTTCCTGTAGCTGGCTTCCAGGAAACCAGGCGCTTTGCCAGCGGCGAAGCGTGCTGCTTAACGTGCAAAATGTGTCACGCGTGTAGCATTAGTTTATTAGCGTGTTTATTAATGTGTGCTGTGATGCCAGAGGGGGCTTCTTTTCATGCTAGCTAAATAATCTATAGGCCGTTTGTTCAGCGCTGGGTGGTATCTGATCCTGGAGCATTTCTTGAGCAAGCTGCAGGAAGGCAATGGTGCTGGGTGCAGAAATGTATAAATTGCTGTATCAGTAAAGAAAAACTGTATTGGACTAGGGATAATGGACGTTCAGTCTTAATAAACATGAGGATTGTGATTACTTTTAAGGCGTACGTTGAGAATCAAGTGGTCATAATCTCTCCTCTCTTGCTAAGTGTAAGATTCAGCTTGTTAATTCTATGTGAATTTGAGCAGTGAGGGAACAAGGGCCATTATATTAGGCAGATTTCTTTCTGGCTTTCAAAGTTAAGAGAACAGCAGGACATGCTAGCAGTCGTATCTATGAGCTGATAGAATTGTTTTTAAAAACCCATATGGCTTTGTCAAGACTTTCTCGATGGCTATAATTATAGGAGGAATGTAAGACGAGTTTTCAAACGTGTGACTGAAATAGTGCTGCTTAAACGTGGCATATGTAGCAAACTTGCAGGAAGGGCAGAGTGCTCATGAAAACATGCAAAGAAATGATTAACTAAAAGGCCCAAGCCTCAAAACAAATTGTAGAACTGAATCCTGCGAGATTTTCCTCGCTAACCTACAGAGTTAATATGTTTTTTAGTCTGATAGTTAAATTTCTTCTTATTTATAATTCTTTGCAAGCTGGCTGGATTGCAGTTGGCCTCTTCTTTCTTTACAGAGCAATAGCCTGCAAATGTTGTTAATGAGGCAGCTTCACTTCCTGTTACAGGATGTTAAGGGCCGAGTTCTGTGCAATTTGTTCTTGCAGTAACAAAAGCAAATGTTTGGCTTTGGTTGTGCTATATGTTGCTTTCTGCAGAGCAACGTACTGCCTGATGTTATACAAAAGAGAAGGGAAATCCAAAAGCAATAAGCTTGTCTTGGCATGCAGAGGAAGTAAGTGGCTTCAGCAATGCAACTCTCACTTCTGTCCGGGGGTTAAAGTCTTTAAGCAAGAAAAAAGTCTAATGATGTTTCAGTATTATTCACATACAAAGGTATATATTTATACAAACACATATATGTACAGAAATAATGTTAACATTAACTTTTGTCTAATAGCTTTATCCATGACTAATGGTGCTGTGCATTTCTTTCTTTAAAATGCTTTGGAAGAAATAAAAACAAAAACCCTGAAAAACATGATTTAAGAATATTGGCGCATAATATTGTACACATAATATCCGTTCAAAGAAATAAGCAGGTCTTTCAAGGGTCCTGGAGGGAGAAAGATTTTTTTATATATATGTAATCATAACACAGGAGTAAGTGCCATCTGGATTTTAGACTTCTGTACCACAGATTGTCTAAATTTAAATGTGTGGATCCTTAGGATACAACTTCTGAGAAGGTAGACTAAACATTTATGTTTTACTGGACCAATACTTGCTGTATGTATTTAAAGCAAAGAACACCCTCCTGCAGTTATGTCTGTAACATGCTTCGGCTGTGGCCCAATGGTAGAGTGTCTTGTTTGCATGCAGAATGGGTCAGAGTTTAGGAAAGGAAGGAGAAGCTGCTGCTTGGAATCTTCCTGAAAGAGCCAGTAATTTGACTTGGAATGAGGGAACTTCTTTGTTCCTACATGGTATTGACCACCTATGCTACTGGGGGGATTTCTGTGACCCCTTTGTTGAAATGATTAGGACTATATTGTAAGCATACTCTAGTCCAAGATGCTGGTGAGGAGTGAGAGGTCTTGTTTGTAACTGAAATGAACAAACGATGTGAAAAAAAGTGCTTTGCCCTGAAGTTGCCTACACTTGTTTTCAAAATGTTATCAGGCAAACCAGCTCATCTCAACCATATTCTTTAACATATTGTAGTAATGGAGCATGGCATTGTGTGCACTAATTCTGTCTTTAGTAGCCACATGCTTAGTATGATGTTTGTGATGGGGGAGTCAGCTCTGTGCATGTGCGAACAGGACACTAAATGTGTGATGTCAGGTATGAAATTAGGACTTCTGATAACATGGAAGCAATATAAGTGTACATAGGTAGGCGCCTTTCCCAGACACTACTGTATGCTGAATGCGGAATGCAGTCCCTTGAGAATTACGTTGGACCCTACTGTCTCTGCCTTTAGAATAGCAGCTAAGGCACATCATTTTTACCAGCCTTTTAATTTTAGGATTAGTTTTAGACTTTTTTATTTTGTATTCTGTGTTTTATTTCCTGTTATTGAGTAGAAAGGTGGGATATACCTTGAATGTATAAATTCATGTGCAGCGTGAAACTGGCAGAATGCCACCTCCCTTGTTATTTTCCCCTTTTCCTAAAAGAATGTCACAGCTTCCAATTGCCTCATTATAGACATTCAGTGTAAGTAGTATTGCTTCTGTTTCCATGTTTCTGTATTAAGTGCTGCTCCTGTTGAACTTCTGCCCATTATGTAGATGTTAAAATGACATTATCTTTCTGAAGAAACTGGCAGTTCTCGTGTAGTCCCTTTCCCTGCCTTCTCAATCAAGCTATTTTATTTAACATTACATAAATGGGATTTGACTTGCAGTCTTTGTTCTGTGAGAACCATCATTTGCCATATTGCTTGGGATTCTCCTTCTAACGGTCCACTGCTGGAGAATTCAAGCTGCTGAAGTTTCCTGATGCAAGAGGTTTGATGGACCAGTGTAGCAAACATTGTTGCTCTTTCTCAGCAGGCAGAACAAGGGAGGTGATGCTCACAATGCTTTTTTGCTAGCTTGACATCCTCTTCCCACAGAGGCCCATTCTGTCAAGGAGCCTACAGTAGATGGCAGCTTTACAGTTGATTCTTTGTTTTAACTGTGGGGTCTGCTGTTTGGGTCAAGAATCTGTAATGAACTTTCACTCTGTGTTGTCTCATGGGGTGCCTGTTATTCAGAGAAGGATTGAAAATATCTGATTTACCCATCATGTAAGCCATTGAGTGGTGGGCTTGAGGGCTTGACCTATAAGGAATGGAGGAGGCCAGTGTCCTAAAACATTATTTACTTGACTCTCTGGCTGACAAGGAGTCATATGGAGAATAAGGAAGGAAGTTTTCTTTAAAAATAAAGTATTTCTGAATTAAATCTTGAAAAATATTTCTTATTGTAAAGTATTGGCTTTAAGTTTTGGAAAGTTAGCATCAGCTTTTTAGATAAAGCATGCTCCTGTTCTTGGATGCCTTCTTTACATTTATAGAAATCCAGATATATAGTAAAAATCTCACTGATACTCATATTTCTCTTTTACAGTGGGCTTGCAATAGATTTCAGCATAATTTTACAGATAGTTTGACATAGTTTTCTGCTACCTTTTTTCTCCATGTGCTTAGCATGGCTCAAAAACTGGAGTTGCCAGGATGTGTAACAGGCATAGCCAAATGTACACTGAACCCTCTCAAGTCCAGATTCTACCTGAATCTTTATTATTCAGATGACCCTTGATGCTTTCAATCAATTTAGTAATGTGTAATCACTCATTCATGTAATCTAAGAACTAAGGGACATTCAACTAGAAGCACCCCATCAAACACCCACTCAGCAGCTCTTTCCTTGCGGAGGGATAAATAGAGCTATCGTTCTACATTCAAGACTCTTACCTGAGATTAAGGATAGATGTCTCCTGACTTGCTGAATGGATGTTCATTAGGTGAAAAAATCCTCTTCAGCAAGGCTGGCCACCATGTAATTGTACATGAGATTATTCTCCTAGTCTTGCATGAAGCTCACGAGCCCATGTATTTGTGGCCACTGTAATGCCTACAAAATGAAATATTTATATCTTTTTTATATTTCTCATTTCTTTGCAGTGATGTTGCAGTGCTTGTATTTTTCACACAGATCTACTATTTATTTGTGTGTGTGTGTGTGCGCGCTGGTAGAAATGCCATGCCTCCTGCAAGCTAGAAAGAGAGAGGCAGGATGCAACACTTTATGACATAAATGTGACAAGAACAGGAAAACTCACGGACAGAACAGATTGTTCACATTAAATAGCAATATTTCTCATGACTGAATTAAAAAGTATTGTCTTATCCATTATATAGTTCATTAACCATATTCACTAGTTTCAAGCCTCACCCCCATTCAAAAGGCATTCTTGGCATTAGTTTTGAAGTATCCATATCTATTCAGCAGATTCAAACTGGTTTAATTACTGCAGCTTTTCACCCAGGGCCTCTAGAAATTCTGGTTTTATGATGATGTGAAGTGTTTTTAATTTATGCTGGGTTCACGATTCCTTTTATTGTGGGAACTGCCTGTTTTCTAAGGTTTCATTCAGACATTCGTATAATTACTCCCTGAAGTATTTTTGACATAGTTTGAGATCTTCCGCAATAATTATAATGTGTTCTGAAGAATATTTACCAGCCTGCTGAATAAGAATGCATTTTATTAATTAATTTTAAGCCAAGCAAATTTTCCCAGTCTATTAACTGTTGTCTCTTATTTTACCTGCCTGAAACTTCTTTGACTTTGCCAGGGTTCCAGGTGTGCTACACAGAGAGTAAGTGCAGTATAGATACCCAAGGGCTGAAGGCTGTCCTCACAGGTGGAATGGGTGACATTTGCTTTCATTACTTACCTCTTTTATTAACAGACTTCTGTAATACCTGAGATTGTAAAATGGAGCCAATTTTACAATCTAAAATTGTAGAAACTGAGTTCAATCCCAGCAATACCAATGAGGTTACATCCAGGGAAACAATTACATCTTTGTCTCTTAGCACATGTCTTAAGAATATGTTTAAAAATAGGGGGGAAAATGGATGGTTGGAACTTCTTTAGAAAATTGGCAGTAACTGCAGACAGGGCAAAA